TGTATTATCAAATCTTTAAAGTGCTTAAAGAAAACAAGACAAAACAACAACAAATCCTGTCAACTTAATCGGTCAAAGAAAAAAATTACCAGAGAAATTAGAAATTACTGTGAAATGAATAAAAATGAAAACAAATAGCAAAAATTATGGGATATAGCAAAGTTAGGGCTCAGGGGAAAATTAATAGCTGTAAATACTTACATTTTTTAAAAATCTCAAATAAATAACAAAACTGTACCCAATAAGGCTCTAGAAAGAGAAAGGTAAAAGAAGGAAATGACTGAGATTGAAGGGGAGGGCTAGGGATGTAATTCAGTGAAAGAGCACCTGCCTAGTGTGTATAAGGTCCTGGATTTACCCCTAAGCAACACACACACACACACACACACACACACACACACGGAGAGAAGATGAATAGGAAAAAAGGTCAAGAAAAATAATAAAACAAAAAAGTTGCTTCTTTGGAAAGATAAAAAAAATGGACAAATGTTGATCTAAATTGACTAAGAAATAAAAAAAAAAAGCTGATGATATAACTCAGTGGTAGAGTGCTTGCCTAGCATATTAGATATGGAAAATGACAAACCCCAAAAGTAGTGAGACCTGGAAAAAGGGAAGTGAGAAGAAAAGCCATCCATTGAGAGCATTTATCCTTTCCCAATACATTCTTTCCTGGTGATAAAACAAATCCTGAGAAAGAGGTGTCCATCAGACCTGGAAAAGCGGTCTCTGGGAAGAGGCTGAAGCATTAATCCTTCTGTCAACAAATCCTTCAGATACCAACCACTGACCCCAGGCCCTCCATTAGGTCCAGTAAGATAAATCCCAGAAACTGACCACTGACCCTAGACTCCCTCCCATTTCGCCCCATAAAAGAGACCCAAAATTCCTAAGCACTAAAACTGACCCCTTTACTGATTCATAAAACAAACTCCAAATTCCTGGGTGCCCAAAGAAAATTGATATCCTCACTAGACCACCTCTCATAATAATTTATATAATCCCAGGTCCTTTCTTTGTTCAGGGGTTCATTTTCCATTAGGAAAGTGGGTCCCACCACAGCATCATTTCATTCCTATATCCTCTGCTCCTGTGTGAAACTTTGTTCTTGAATAAAGCGCGGAGCTGATTTATGAGGTTTGTGTTGCTCCTGGTCTTTTTGCGCTAACATAGCATGCATTGGGTCTTGGGAATTTGAGGCCAGCCTGGCATAGTGAGCCCATGTCAAAAAAAAGGGGGAAATGAAAGAGAATATATTATTATTATTATTACTGACATTACAGAAATAAGAAAGATTATATAAGAATTCTATGAAAAACTATACATCAACAAAGATGAAAAATTCCTGGTACTAGATGAAAAATTCCTGGAAAGAAATATACTACAAAAAATAGCTCAAGAAGAAATAGAAAATGTGAATAAATATAGCACATATGAAGACTTATCAGTAATCAAAAACCTCCTCATAAAGAAAGGTCCAGGACTAGATGGCCTCCCTGGTGAATTCTACCAAACATTTAAAGAAGGATTAATACCAATCCTTTTCAAGCTATTCCAAAAAACTGAAGAGGAGGCAAACTTCCCAATTCATTCTATGAGGCCAGCATTGCCCCAAAATCAGATAAAGACACTACAAGAAAACTAACTATGTCTGAAAAGGGATTAATATGCAACTGTAACTCAACAACAAAAGAACTAATAACCCAATTTTAAAACTGAACAGAGGACTTGAAAAGTCACACTTCTCCAAACAAAATTTTTTTAATATTTCTTTTTAGTTATTGATGGACTATTTATTTATGTATTTATTTACATGCAGGGCTGAGAATTGAACAAAGGGCCTCACACATGCTAAGCAAGCTCTCTACCACTGAGCCACCACCTTAGCCCCCTCCAAAGAAGATTTTTTTTAAATATTTTTTTTAGTTGTAGTTGGACACAATACCTTTATTTGATTTATTTATTTTTATGTGGTACTGAGGATCGAACCCAGCATCTTGCACGTGCTAGGTGAGTGTTCTACCGCTGAGCCAAAAACGCCAATAAGCACATGAAATGACAGTCCACATCATTAGTTGTTGTTAGGGAAATATGAATCAAAACCATGAGATACCATTTCATACCCCCTAGAATGACTATTATAAAAAAAAAAACAAAAACAAGCCAGGCTCGGTGGTGCATGCCTGTAATCCCAGAGACTTGGGAGGCTGAGACAGGATAGAAAGTTCAGAGCCAGCCTCAGCAACAGCAAGAGATGTGGCTCAGTGGTGGAGTGCCCTGAGTTCAACCCCCGGTAACCAAAAAAAAAAAAAAAAAAAAAAACCTGAAAAGGCTTGGTGAGGATATAGAGAAATTGGAAACTTTGTACATTACCAGTGAAAAACAGTTTGATAATTCCTTGAAACATTAAACACAGAATTACCATATGACCCAGCAATTCTATTGTTAGGTATATACTCCAAAGAACTGAAAACAAGGACCAGAACAACACTTGCATGCCAATGTTCATTGTAGTTTTATTGACCACAGTCAGAGGTGAAAACCCAAGTGTTCATCAACATATGAATGGATAAACAAAAAACAGTGTGTGTGTGTGTGTGTGTGTGTGTGTGTGTGTGCGCCCGCGCATGCGCGTGCACACACATATGCACGAGTGCATGTAATGGTATATTACTCAGTCATAAAAGTAAAGAAGTTCTGACACATGCTACAACATGGTGACCCTTGAAAACATTATGTTAAATAAGACAGATTCAAAAGAACAAGCACTATGTGATTCTATTTATATGAAATACCTACAATAGGAAAATTCATAGATATAGAAAGGACAACAGAGGTTACCAGGGGTTGGGAAGAAAGGAGAATGGGGAGATATTGCTTCAAGAGTACTTTAGAGTTTTTGCTTGAAGTAATGAAAAAGTCTGAACCCCATAATGGTGAAGGTAGCACAAAAATGTGAATAATTAATGCCATTGATTTATATAATTAAATGATTAAAATGAAAAATCTTATGTTTAATATCTTTTAAAATAGGTATAGCAAAACCAGAGATCCAATGGCACAATTGGTTAGTGCACGGTACTTATAAAAAAGGTTTAGTAAAAAGTAAGTATCTTTCCTGCTCTCACTTCTCCTGCCTAGGGAAACCAATGTTACCAGTTTCCTTTATATACATTACTAGAAAAACTTTAAAGGACCAAACATACTCTGTGGGGCAGATTAAGTTCTGCAGAAACAAAATTAGAAAACCCTAGGGGCTTAGAAAATGAATTTTTTGTCATTGCTACAGATATTCACAAATATATTCTCTTTTGCAAGTTTAGACAAAGCTCAGAGATAGGGTTCAATGACTAGTTTACCCCTAGCCCTCATAACACTTTTTCCAAACTGAAATGACAAATGAGGAAGGGCTAACCAAAAAGTAAATTGACAAAGTTGTCAATCACTCTTCTATAGTCATTTTTTTTTTTTGGTACTGGGATTGAACCTAAGGGTTACCACTAAGCTATATTCCCCCATTCCTTTTTATTTTGAGCTGGGGTTTCACTGAATTGCTTAGAGCCTTGCTAAGTTGCTATGACTGACCTGAAACTTGTGATCCTCCTGCCTCAGTTTCCTGAGTCACTGGGGTTATAGGTGTGCACCACTGCACCTGGCTCTGTAGTCATTTCTTATAATTTTATGTTGCCTCAACATCCATTTTTTAAATATAAGTTGAATTTTCTCATACCAAGAGCAGAACTCAGCTACCTGTGCCACAGTTTCCAGTTTTATATCTTCTCCCAGTTCCTCAATGTGGTTGACACAGACATCTGCCTTAGATAACTGCCTTCTGATGACCACTTCCCTATGCAACAGCTAGATATAACCTACTTGACTGGCTGACTCCTTGAACCCACCACTATCACCCTGCATGGACTGCACAGATATTCTACAATGACCACCTTTCAGTCACAGTGTGACCTCCTGGAACTTGTAACCTCCAAAAACTTGTTTTGTTTTTTGTTTTTATATGGGGGATCGAACCCAAGGGTACTTTACCACTGAGCTACAACTCTAGGCTCCCCACCTTTTTGAGACAGGTCTTACTAAATTGTTTAAGCCTCACTAAACTGTTGAGGCTGGCATGAATTTGTGGGATGCTGGGATTACAGATGCATGCCACCATGCCTGGCATGTGCTTGCCTGCTTTAAACCTACCATTTAAAATTCCCCCTTGGGAAATGTTTGGATAAGGCCTTGTACTCACATAGGAGAATACTATGCAGCTATAAGAAAACAAATTTTCTAACTACGAATATGGAAAGTTGAACAATTTTCATAGTATACTGTTAACTAAAAGAAGCAATGGAGTTCCGAAGAGTAGAGAGAATATGCTGATATTTGCATGAGGAGGAGTGGAGAAACAGGCATACATACATACATATGTATTTGTTTCTAATTGCATAAAGTAACACCGATGCCAGTGGTTTCCAAACTTGTTCGTACTTTGGAATTACTTTAGGAACTTGAAAAAACCCTACCCTAAGAGACTAGAATTTAATAAGTATCACATTGGTTTGGGAATTATATAATATCCCCAGATGATTCCAAAGGCAGAAAAGTTTGAAAACCATTGCCATAAGAACACAAAAAATCTTAATAAAATCAGTTTTTATGTAAGTGGTGGGTGAAAATAGGGTGGTGGGGTACATATATAGAAAACAGATCTTTCATTTTATGCTTTTTAATATGATTTTGATTTTTGTCATATTAACTATTTAGAAAATTTAGGAATAAATTCTTTAATGTAAAACACTCAAATAATTGCTTCCACCATGTTTGTTTTCATGATATGGTTTTTACTCAGGGTTTAGAACTCCTAATGCCATCAACACCAAAGCAAGGGTACAAATATATCTTGGGGAAAAAAATCATACTTTCAAATTTTCTCTATTTTGGCCAAAAGCTTACTTAAAATAAGGATTACAGTAATGCACTATGTGTAGTTATTACATTACCTGTCTTTATACACCCAACAGGAAAGTTTATCACGAGGTGTGGGTGGCTGTCCTTCAAAGTTGGTGATTTTTTTCCAAACATAGGTGCCATCTCTTGTTCGCAAATTGACAAAATAAAGCTTTTTAAAAATGAGAACATTATTAGCATATAAGACATTTAAAAATTAAGTCTGTATTAAGGAGAACTGTCATCCAAAAATTAATATTATTCTTTATATTTTTAATAGATAAAAATTTTACATACTAAGAATTATAGAATGAATGAAAATCACACCGTGTTTTAGAAGGAAATTATATATAATTTATCTGTTCTTGCCCTATAGATATCAATTAAGAGTGTAGTTGATTCTGAAGCAGGAAGACATGGAAGAGAAAAGCAAGCATGCTGCATTTCCCATTTGTTTTTAAATTTTTATATAGTTATCTTCTTTTAAAATATTTGCAAACTTGGAAGATGAAATGATGTATTAATGATTATATTTTCCTGCACTCCTGAATTAAAAGAAAATATTACTCAAGATTTTTTCAAGATGGCAGAATAGAGAAGGTCTTTTTCCTGGGATGCTCAGTGGTATGAAACTAAGAAAACAGGCAGCTTCTCAGCAAGGTTGATGAAAAGAGAAAAAAAAAAAAAAAAAAAGGCAGAGGGACTCAAATGAATTCAGCAAAGTAGCAAGATATAAAATTAACATTTATAAATTCATAGACACCAATTGCATTCCTAGACACCAATGATGAATCAAAAGAAAGAGAAATTAGAAAAATTATTTCATTCACAGTGGCCTCAACAAACAAACAAACTTGGGAATCAATCTAACAAAAGAGGTAAAAGATCTCTACAATGAAAACTACAGAACACTGAAGAAAGAAATTGAAGAAGACCTTAGAAGATGGAAAGATTTCCCATGTTCTTGGATAGGCAGAATTAATATTGTCAAAATGGCCATACTACCAAAAGTGCTATACAGGTTTAATGCAATTCCTATTAAAACCCCAATGATGTTCCTCATAAAAATAGAAAAAATAGTCATGAAATATAAGAGGCCCAGAATAGCTAAAGCAGTCCTTAGCAAGAAAAAGGAATCAGGAGGCATCACAATACAAGACCTTAAAGTATACTACAGAGCTATAATAATAAAATAGCATGTTACTGGCACCAAAACAGACATGAAGACCAATGAAACAGAGTAGAAGATACCAAGACAAACCCACATAAATATAGTTATCTCATACTAGACAAAGGCACCAAAATTATACACTGGAGAAAAGATAGCCTCTTCAACAAATGTTACTGGGGAAACTGGAAATCCACATGTAGTACAATGAAATTGAACCCCTATGACTCATCCTGCACAAAACTCAACTCAAAGTGAATTAAGGACCTAGGCATTAGACCAGAGACCCTATCCCTGGTCTAATATAGGCCCAACTCTCCATCATGGTTGCTTAGGAATTGACTTCCTTAATAAGACTCCTAAAGTAGAAGAAGTAAAATCAAGAATAAATAAAAGGCATGGTATCAAACTAAAAAGCTTCTTCCATGGCAAAGGAAACAATCAAGAATGTGAAGAGAGAGCCTACAGAATGGGAAAAAAATCTTTGCCACCTGTACCTCAGAAAGCATTAATCTCCAGGATACATAAAAACTCAAAAAACTTAACACCAAGGAAACAAATAACCCAATCAATAAATGGCCAAAGGAACTGAACAAACACTTCACAGAAGAAGAAATACAAATGATCAAAAAAATATGAAAAAATGTTCAACAATTCTAGCAATTAGAGAAATGCAAATGAGATTCCATCTCACTCCAGTCAGAATGGCTATTATCAAGAATACAAGCAACAATAAATGTTGGCAAGGATGTAGAGGGAAAAGGTACACTCATACATTGCTAGAGGGACTGCAAATTGTTGCAACCACTCTGGAAAGCAGTAAGGAGATTCCTCAGAAAACTTGGGATGGAACCACCATTTGACCCAGCTATCCCACACTCTTGGGTATATACCCAAAGGACTTAAAATCAGCATACTACAGTGTTACGGCCATATCAATATTTATAGCAGCTCAATTCACAATAGCTAAGCTATGGAACCAACTTAGGTGTCCTCAATAGATGCGTAAGACAATGTGGTATATATACACAATGGAATATACTCAGCCATAAAGAAGAATGAAATTATTACATTAGTTAGTAAATGGACAGAACTGGAGTCTATCATGCTAAGTGAAATAAGCCAATTCCAGGTCCCAGGGTTGTGGCTCAGTGGTAGAGCGTTTGCCTAGCATGTGTGCCTAGCTGGGTTCGATCCCTGGAGCCACATAAAAATAAACAAATAAAATAACGGTATTGTGTCCATCTACAACTACAAAAAAATTTTTTTTAAAAAAGAAAAGAATAAGCCAATTCCAAAAAACCAAAGGCTGAATGTTCTCTTTGATATGTGGATGCTAACATACAATAAGGGGAAGGAGAGAAAAGAATAAAAGTTCATTGGATTAGACAAAGGGGAATAAAGGGAAGGGAGGGCGACAGGAATGGGAAAGACAGTAGAATGAATTGGACATAACTTTTCTTTTTTTTTAGTTTTAGATGGACACAATATCTTTATTTTATTTATTTTTATGTGGTGCTGAGAATCAAACCCAGTGCCTCACTCAAGCTCCACGAGTGCTCTACCACTGTGCCACACCCCAGCCCCTGGACATAACTTTTCTGTTTATATATGAATACATGACCGTGTAACTCCACATCATGTTCAACCACAAAATAGGATCCTAATTAGAATAAGTTATTCTCCACGTATGTATAATATGTCAAAATACATTCTACTGTCATGTACATCTAAAATGAACAAATAAAAAGTAAATTAAAAAAATATTACTCGATTGCTGTATCCTTTGTCATCATATCCTCCAAAAACGTACAGCTTCCCATTAATGCAAGCACCACAGCTTCCTGACATGGAGGTAGGGAGTTCTCCTTCCATTAGATGCATTCTCCTGCAGTAAAAATGACATGGAATACATTAACTTTTTCCAAAGGCAAATAAAAATTCCCCTTAAACTTCTTGAGAATCTTTTCAGTGAAAATTCCTATTGTCAATTAAAATTAAAATGTAATGGTAGTCAATACTGTAAAAACTTTAAGAAGATCCAACACAGAGATCTTTCAACCAGCTTGGAGGAAAAAAATCACAAAATATTCATACATATCACTAGAAATGGGAACTAGAGCATTGGTCTTGAGAGAAATAGTAATGGACAAAGAATGGAGAAGGAAATAGAGTAGGGAAAGACAGTCACAGAGAATAAAATATTGAAAGAAAAGGAGAGAGAGACTTATAATATAAATATTGCAGTATGTCCTACGTATGGTCTCAGATCCCTGTAGTCTATGAAAACATTTATAACAGATATTAAGACTAGACACTCTGCAATTTAAATTACTTACCATAACCCACTATCAATATCATAGGTCCAAATTTCATCATTAGGCAAATATACTTCATTGTCTTCAATTGACTAAAAATACAGAATACATAAAATTATGTTTATTGATCAGATAGTAACAATTCAAAAGTTCCTCAGGATAAGAAAAACTGTAATTAAAATACAACAAAATATAATATCAGTCTCAAAGACTTTTAAATATAAGATCAAAAGGAAATATTTTCAAAGAGAAAACAGGGAAAATAAATGTTTTAAAATCCAAAAATCAAATATATGAGTCTCAAGAAAATGATTTGGGGTTGTTACACTTTCCAAAGGGATTTTGAATAAGGGAAAATACCAAAACAATAAAATTTATGCAGAAGAGCAAAGATTATAAAGCCAGGAAAAAAGGATTTAGAAAAAGGGCAATACATTTTGAGAAAAAAGAAGGAATTAAGGAAGAAATTTTTTTTCAAGATAAAATTGTAAGAGCACTGCCTCAAATATCTTAACTCATATGAACATATCTGTTGAGTGACTACTATATGCAAAGCATAGTGTTAGGTGTTTTAAATCTAGAATCTAAAGATCAAGATAAATGTAACTAGTCAAAATGATAACTCAGAATTTGAAAAAATTCTAAAGAAGCTGATAACATAAGTATTGCATCCTAATATTTATGATGAAGAGAGAAATAAGAATAGTATAACAATATCATTTAGGTTAAAAAAAAAAAAAAAGAATTAGGAGCTGGGAATATAGCTCAGTGGTAGAGTGCTTGCCTAGCAGGCATATATCCCTAGATTCAATCCCCAACACCAGGTAAACAAACAAACAAACAAAAAGTCAAGTAAAATAAATCCTTGGCTGGGTGTGGTAGTGCATGTGTATAATCCCAGCTACTCAGGAAGCTGAAGCAGGAGGTTCACAAATTTGAGGTCAGTCTCAGTAACTCTGTGAGACCCTCAGCAACTTAGTAAGACCCTGTCTCAAAATAAAACATAAAAAGGACTGGGGATGTAGCTCAGTGGTAGACTGCCTCTAGGTTCAATCTCGCAATACCAAGAAAGAAACACAAAAACAAATTCCTTACATAAATTTGACATGATTTCTTAGACTGTATAAAATAACTTAAAAGTAGGTCTATTTTATTTATTTTATTTTTTATATTAATTTTTCAGTTGTAATTGGACACAATATCTTTATTGTATTTATTTTATTTTTATGTGGTGCTGAGGATCGAACCCAGGGCCTCACACATGCTAGACGAGCGATCTACTGCTGAACCACAACCCCAGCCCCCAAATTAGGTCTAATTTAAAATAGCAGTTTAAGAATTTCTAAAACTATGATGCAAAAATTATTAACATGCTCAGTAGATTCAGCTGTTTCTCATTGCTATGTTAGTTAAATTTTAAAACTACAATCTTTGACTAATAATTCTATGTTGGTCTCTGCTTCTTGCTCTCCTCATTCTCTTTCTGCCTCCCTTCTTTTTCTTTCCCTCCCCCACCCCACACAACAGAAAACCTTTTTATTAATTCCAAGGAAACTTCCATTCATGTCTAGCCAAGGAATCCATATTAAATGTATAAGTAAACAAAAAATTGTCAGAAGGTAAATTAATGATTCTAAGGTTTAATGACATCAGGCTCCAGTAGCCTCATGTGTACCTGATCACTCAAGAAATATCAGAGAAATGAATTTCTTTTCATGGTTTGACTAATTCCCTTTAATGGTTCCCTACTGCTCTTAGTATAGCCTAAGATTCTTATGAATCTGTATTACATTGGTACCTACCTCCAAATCTCAATTTGCCTTTTACTCATTATGCTTTATTTAGTCTTCTTTCAGTTCCTATGCCTTTCAGAGTTCCTTGCTGTTAATCTATGCTTTTTTCTCTCTCTCTCTTTTTTTTTCTGTTTGCTTAAACTTTTGGTGGTTTTAGAGATCAAACCAAGGGCTTCATGCATTCAACGCAAGCACTTTACCAATGAGCTACATTCCCAACTCCTCTCTTCTTGAAATGTTCCTTCAAAATTTGTTTAACTACTCATTATTTGGGAATCAGTTTAAATGTTACTTCTCTAATCACCCATCATAGTTTAAGAAATTAAGGTCCCTATTCAAATACTCTCATACAGTCTTGCACTTCTCCTTTGAAGTTCTTTCTTTGTGTCACACTAACCCACCACTATCAACACCACTAAACTTCATGCTTTACAAGTGCACAGATCATGTCTATCTTGTTACTGTTAATTTCCCAGAGGCACAGATCTCACACATAAAAGGCAAAGAGAACATTTGTTGATTGAGTAAATGGGTCAGTCAATAACCAAGTCGATAACTGTTAAATTGACCTATTAACTTTAGTTTGATAATTTAGATAATTTTCACTAATTTATATGATGAAAAATACAAATGAAACACAGAATTAAACAGTCTGGAACCAGTTCCTTTATACTTTATCAGAGGCTTCACTTCTACACTATTCTTTCTTTTCTACATCATCAACAATTCTTTCTCTACTGGATCATTCCTACAAATATCCAAACATGCCTTAATATGTACTCATCTTCAAAACACAAAAACAAAAACTTTCCCTTAATTCTTCTTTTTATCTCCTCCCTTTACAAACAAACAAAAAAAACACCTTTCATGATGAGTTTCTTTCATACATAGTATATGTCTCCATTGTATCACCTTTCATTTTCTTACCAACCCCATTCTAATCTGGCTTCTGAGTTGTCATTCCACTGATACTGTTCTCCCTTAGGTCATTCTATAAAGAAAATTAGTGAACTTCTCTACCAGAAATGTAGCCCAGAAAGAGGAACTATATTTTTAAAAGAAAAGAGACATGGAGCAAGAGGAAAACTAAGTCTAACAAGAAATACATTACAACAAAATAGAATGGGGGAAGAGGCAACATTTGAAGAGACAAAAGCCAAGAGTTTTGTAAAGTTGTTGAAAGTCATCAATTCTGAGATCTAGGAAGTCCTAACAGGTTCTAAACAAAATAAACAAAAATCCATACCTAGACACATCAGGACTGAAGAAAAAGGCATATTCCTAAAAACAACTCAAGAAAAGACAGATCACCTTCAAATGAACATGAACTACTATAATTTGAATCTTAAATATCCCCCACAGGCTTGGTCCCCAACTTGGTGCTCTTGGGAAATGGTGGAAATTTTAAGAGGTGGGGCCTAGTGCGAGGACTTAGATCATTGAGAGAATAACTTTTAAAGGTGTTGTGCAACTTCTGTCTGTCTGTCTGTCTCTCTCAGCTCTGAAGATTGAACCCAATGATATACAGCCCCAGCTTTTTTTTTTTTTTTTACTTTGGGATAGGTTTCACAAAGTTGCAGAGGCTGGCTTTGAATATGTGATCCAGGAATTCTGGATAATTCGATGAACAAAGCTGAAAAAATTTACATATATAAAACACTTCACCTAATAATTAGAATGTATGTTTCTTATAATAAATAGCATGTTTCTGAATACTGACCACAAACTAGTCTTTAAAGGAAGCCTAAATATATTCAAGAGAACACACTTTCTGAGTACAACACAATTAACAAAACAAAACTGATTATAGAAACACCATGTTTAAAAATCTAGGATTTTTTTCCCCTAAGCAAATTATAGGTGAAAAAAGAAATAATGGGAAACAATAAAATATGTAGAACTAAAAAATGACAAAATACTGCTTGCCAAAATTTGGGAGATGCAGCTAAAGAGATACTTAGAGAAAAATAGACAGCCTTAAATATTTGTACTAATAAATTTAAAAATAAGAAAAAAGATTTGAACATTCAATTTCAGAAGTTCAAGAAATAACAGCATAACAAATCTTGAGTCTTAAATAGAAATCAGGAAGAAAGAAAAAGGAGCAGATATTAAAATATACAGAAAAAATGTGAGAGGAGTAAGTAAACCAAAAGTTGGTTTTTCACAAGTCTAACAAACGTTTTGCATGATTACTCAAGGTGGGGAGGAAAGTTACCAATAAGCAATGTTAGGAATGGGAAAAGGGGACATGCCCTCTCTCAAGATAAAAAAATATAAAAAAGAGGTGGGAATGTGGTACAATGGTAGAGTACCCCTGGGTTCAATCTCTGGTACCATAATCAATCAATAAATATAGGAGGGGCTGGGGTTGTGGCTCAGTGGTAGAGCGCTCGCCTACCACATGCAAGGCCCTGGGTTCGATCCTCAGTACCACATAACAATAAATAAAGGTATTGTGTCTAACTACAACTAAAAAATAAATATTAAAAAAAAATAAATAAATAAATAAATATAGTAAAATGAAAAATAAAATAAAAAGGATTGGGGATATAGCTCAGTGGCAAAGTACCCCTGGGTGTTTGTTTCCTAGTACAGCCAAAAAAAAAAAAAAAAACCTAATTAAACAGAATGAAAAGTCTAGAAACAGATCACACATCCATGAAAATTTGATGTATGACAGAACAGTCTTGGAGGTTAGCAAGGAATGGGGGACATTTTAATATATGACATGAGGTCAAGTGGTGACCCATAGGAAAACACTATGAAACTAGATTTCTACTTTAAACCAAAACAACAACAACAACAACAACAAAAAAAAAAAAAAAAAAAAAAAACAAGCAAAAATCCAGGTTGAAAAAAGTTTTAAACAGAATGCAAAACTAAAAAAAGTTTAGAAGACAATGTTGGACACTTTATGACCTTTACATGGGGAAAGATTTCTTAAACAAGATGCAGAGAATACAAAGCATTAAGAAAAAGTTTGATGGGCTGGGGATGTGGCTCAAGCAGTAGTGCGCTTGCCTGGCATGCGTGCGGCCCGGGTTTGATCCTCAGCACCACATACAAACAAAGATGTTGTGTCTGCCGAAAACTAAAAAATAAATATTAAAAAAAAAAAAAAGTTTGAAATTACATTCTTTTTTTTGGTACTGGAGATTGAACCCAAGGCCTTGTGCATGCCAGGCAAACACTCTACTCTAAGCTACACCCCCAGCCTGAAATTACATTAAAACTAGGGATGATGGTACACACTTGTAATCCCAGAAATTTGGGAAGCTGAGGTAGGAGAACTGCAA